TTTTTTAATTTTATTTAAATGTTTTCCAGAGTCTACCAAACATTCCTTCTTCATCATAATTCGAGCTGGGGGAGAAATCACGGTGGCCACGCCCCTGGCCAGTACACACAGCGGCCTGAGTGGAGACACCCTCACCTTCCCCACCAAGTTCACCCAGTGAGTCTGCCATGATCCACTCAGCCTAAATGTGGCGGCTTTAACTGAGCAGTTCCCTAGGGACGTCCCGATCCAGCTTTTTTCTCTTCCGATCCGATCCCGGCCCATCAGAGCATGTATTAAAGTTTAAATTTATTTATCTACTTACTTAGTTGTCAGACTCATGTTGAACAGGGATTTACTCTGATAACAACTTAATGGTTAGGACACAGAGCTGTGGGTTACAGATGCTAACGCTGATGCTAATGCTCGTGTGGGATCGGAGTTGGAAAAAAAAAACTGGATCTGGAGTCTGGATCTGCATTTTCTCCGCATTTTTTGTAAATATCGGTGGCCGATCTGATCCAGATATCTGATCGGGAAAAGCCTACGTCAGATTGTTCCTTTTGGACCCTTTAATGATTTAAAATCCAACCTTTTCAGGTCTGACGTCTCCAGTAACTTTCAAATAGGGCTGGACGTATACTGCCTGGTAAGTGCTTTCAAATGTCTTTTTAGTGGTTTCAGGTTTTAGGAGTCGACTGTCACACAATCAAATTTCTGCTTTCACGCAGTTCTACATGGAAAACTTCAGAAAGTATGAAAACCTGGGACACATTTGAATGTTTTTGATATATAAACATGATCAAATTGATATTTATTTGTCTTATTCGCAGTCAAACGTGGTCCAACTGGCAGTAAAATGCTTTTGACTGCTCGTCCACACAGTCATATAAAAAAATTAAAAGAAGAATGAATAAACCAAGGTTTAACATTACAGAAATGCTCTAAATAATAAGTGTCTAACTTAATGTGTAACCCTAATGTTTTCTTTTGGCTCACTCACTGTAAACCATTAAGTTTGTGCTACTTGCTGTTATAAAAACATGAAATGCTCCCAATCAAATACAGAATTTATTCCTTAGTAAAGCAGCTCATCAACCTCTTAAACACAAATGAGAGGACTTTAAAAATTGAATAAACCTGACTGAACCTGGCTGATTAGTCTTTATCACATTATGCAGCTTTATTTGTACCAGCAGCCCTCCTAAAAAACAAACTATCCAAGATAAACGCACATATATTTAGAATTAACCGCATCTATTCTCCTGGTCTATATGTTTTCCTTCATGTTTTACAAATGTTTGATCAGAATGAACCGTTTCAGGTTCAGAAACGGGAGGTCTGCAGTGACAAGAAGAAGAAACCCAACAAGTCAAAGGTAAATCCGTCCTGTGGACAGTTTTTAGGCTCCGAATTACTGAGTGTGTTGTCATATTAAAAGCATGCTTGTGTGTCTCCAGATGATGTGGAGATGGGTTATGTTGGTATGAACAGTTTTTTTCTGAGAACTCTCTCTGCACCTTGGGTGGTCGTTGTACGGTGTGGGGGGGAATGTTTTGGAGCCAATATAAATGTTGTTTTACCTTTCTAGGCCATCACTCCGAAGAGATTCCTCGCGATCTCTGTAAGTCATCCTCAGTTATTTTCGTCTTTCCAGATATCTTATTTTATCATAATTGTCTGACATGTATTCTTTTCCTTACAGAAAAGTGCACAGACACCAGGTATGTGGAGATTTTTAACAGAGTTTGTAGTTTTAGTTGCACAATTTTGACTAAAATTGTCAGCGTGAGTCAAGAAGCTGGTGTTCTGCATTCAGGAAATCTCTTAAAGGGGACATATTATGCAAAAACAAGTTTTTAATCATTTGATTATGTACATTTGGGACTGTGGAGGGCCCATCAGCAGGCAAAGTGTGAAAAAAAATGTTTTTGTGGGCCGCCTCAGTCTGAATCCAGGAGATAAATCAGGAGGTTTCAGGAGTGGGTAGTTTCTGACGTCATTAGCTCTAGCTCATTATAATATTATTATTATTATTATATTAATATTATTATATATTATCTAGCTCATTATAATATTCCAGCCTTTCACCTGCATGTTGCCCCCCCCCCTCAGCTTACTCCCCTATCTGTGGAGACGTCGTTGTAGCGTGAGCGTTAGCATGGTGGCGTTAGCACGGTAGCGTTAGCATGGTAGCGTGAGTGTTAGCATGGTAGCGTTAGCACGGTAGCGTTAGCATGGTAGCGTTAGCGTGCCGGCGTGGGCACACCTCCCTGAAGAAGTGGGTGGATTGCCTGTGTCTCATTTGCATTTAAAGAGACAGGCACTCCAAAGCGAGCGCTCTGAACAGGGCTGTTTTGGGTTAGGGTTAGGGTTAGGGTTAGGCAGGGGGACTGAACTGCTATTGGGCTTCATCCTTATGGGATTTTGACCAAAACTTGTCACAGACATTACATCAGGACACCAGGGAACTAGCTTAACTTGTAGAAATAGGGTATAATATGACTCCTTTAACACGTCCACCTTGGAAGATGAACAATCTTTAAAACATGCAAACGAACCCCTGACTCAGGGCTTGTGTTGGCTGTGTGTAATTCTGTGTGGACTATCGTAGTTCTGGCTAGTCCCGGGGGGCCCAGCGCCGTTCGCACCAGCAACTTCGTCCTGGTCGGATCGCACACGCTCAGTCTGTCCTCCATCGGGAAGAACAAATTTGCTTTGGAGAAGGTAAAACGGGCTCTGATTTCATGTTTATTCTCTTCTTCCTCATGTCCTTTTTCATATATTGCGTCACCACTGGTACTGAAGCTAATGTCTCTGTTGTTTTAACCTCGTATTTAAGGTGCCGTTCCTGTGTCCTCTGGAGGGCCACGTCTACCTGAAGATGCACTGTGAAGTGGGGTCAAAGGTGGAAGAGAGGGGCTTCCTGGTAAGCAGTTATTTTACAAAGAAAACTGTTAGTTTGGTTCATTAGTTGGAAGCCTGAGAATAAACCAGAGCAGATCTAGAGTACAAATATGACATTTATTGGTCACAAGCAGAGTAAAGCAGCTGGGCTCTCACAGACAAAGTTCCCGGAGGATCTCAGTTAGCAAAGAGCCTGGATTTCCGGGTGTGATGGACAGTTTTCCTCTGGGCCTCGAACAGGAGGACGAGTGTTATTGGCCAGTAAGCTCTGACAGGAACAGGCCAGGTCCTAATTCATGCAGGTTTAGGTGGAATGTGATAAAAAAAATGTGAATATTGACCTTGAAGACGAGTATCTACTGTAACAGAGAGGAGGAGGAGGCACAGCCAGAGAGTTTAACCCAAAAGTATAATTATAAAGGGAATAATAATCCTTTTAAATGAATCTAAAAAGGAATAAGACAATCAGTCGTTTACATGGATTAAGTTATAACATACTGTGCTAAAGTGAGTAATTATATCCCAATTCTAACATAAATAAGCTGCTTGTGACGCCACAAAAACCTCCTTTTCTCTCTTCTCGTGGCAGACGATGTTTGAGGATGTGAGCGGGTTCGGGGCCTGGCACCGGAGATGGTGCGTGCTGTCGGGGTACTGCGTCTCCTACTGGACCTACCCCGATGACGAGAGGAGGAAGGTGAGCTTTAATTCAACACGTCTGAAGACGCTTTTACCCAAAGTGACTCCAAAAAGAGGCTTTGATCTTCAGCTAAAACACCAGTTACACGCTTACCGTTTAGCATGCATGTTTTTTTCTGTAGATGTTCGTATTAAGGAAACTCTGCCCTAAAGTACTTTTGTCTGTTTTTGCCATTAATCGCCACAAAACTACCTTAGGACCAGAGATACTCTGGAAGAGAGTATATCTAGCTATCCATCTCTCTAGCTATGAAGCTATCTATCTTTCTATCTAGCTATGCAGCTTTCTATCTAGCTTTCTTTCTAGCTATGTAGCTTTCTATCTAGCTATGTAACTATCTAGCTATCTCTCTAGCTATGTAGCTATCTTTCTATCTAGCTATGTAGCTATCTGTCTTTCTCGCTATGTAGCTCTCTTTCTTTCTTGCTATGTAGCTATCTGTCTTTCTAGCTATGTAGCTATCTGTTGTCTTTCTAGCTATCCAGCTATGTAGCTAGCTAGCTATGTAGCTATCTGTTGTCTTTTTAACTATCCAGCTATGTAGCTAGCTAGCTATGTAGCTATCTATCTAGTAGTCTTGTGAGGTCGTTCTACAAATTAGAAGAGTTCAGACCTTTTTCCCTTTTGTCTGCCAGAGTCCCATTGGCCGCATCAACCTGGCTAACTGCACCAGTAAGACGGTGGCGCCGGCCAACAGAGAGTTTTGTGCGCGGCCGAACACGTTTGAGCTCATCACAGTCCGACCCCAGAGAGAGGACGACAGGGAGACCCTCGTCAGCCAGTGCCAGAACACCATGTGTGTCACCAAGTAAGATCCTGCCGTTCTTCCCAGAAACACACAGCTCCTCCCAGACGCTGTTTAACTCATTGGCTGCCAAAGACGTCTATAGAGGTCTTTTATATTTTTCAACGAGAGTGGCTGGGGGACGATCTGCTAAAGCTTGTCCGTAAATATCGGCTTCTAGACAGAGTATGTAGTAACAAATTGACCCTCTAGGGGGCAGTGCCACTTTTGATGGGAGATGAGCATAGACTGTAGGCAAATAAGAAAAAGGTAACGGTTCTATGACAGAACATGTCGCCGGTGAGACGCAAGTCGAGGAAGAACGGAATAAGGTAGAAAACAAATTTGTTTTCCTGATGAAAGAAGAGTCTACTCTTTCTTTTGGTGTGTTCGGTGTTTACATAGTCATAGCACAAACTATTCTGTGGCTCTTGAAAAATCAGTCAAAATGCTAAAAAAACTGGCAGTATGGGACTCTGTTCTGAAAATGGCTGGCAGTCAATGAGTTAAGGACTCACCCTTACATTCGGTTCTTTAGTTGGAAGCCTGAGAATAAACCAGAGCAGATCAAGAGTACAAATCTGACATTTATTGGTCACAAGCAGAGTAAATCAGCTGGACTCTCACAGACAAAGTTCCTGGAGGATCTCAGTTAGCAAAGAGCCTCGATTTCCGGGTGTGATGGACAGTTTTCCTCTGGGCCTCCAACAGGAGGACGAGTGTTATTGGCCAGTTAGCTCTGACCTGAACAGGCCAGGTCCTAATTCATGCAGGTTTAGGTGGAATGTGATAAGAAAATGTGTGTGTGTGTGTGTTGATCTTAAAAACGAGTATTTACTGTAACAGAGAGAGGAGGAGGCGGCACAGCCAGAGATTTTACTCCAAAGTATCATTATAAAGGGAATAATATACATCTAAAAAGGAATAAGACAATCAGTCATGTACAGTGGGGGGAATAAGTATTTGACCCCTTGGTGATTTTGCAGGTTTGCCCACTTACAAAGAATGCAACGATCTATAACTTTAATCATATGTACATTCTAACAGTGAAAGACAGAATCCCAAAGAAAATTCCAGAAAATCACATCATACGAATTTATAAAAATAGATAACCATCTGATGAATAAAAATAAGAATTCTTTGCAAGTGGGTAAGGGGTCAAATACTTATTTCCCCCCACTGTACATGGATTAAGTTATAGCATGCTATGCTAACGTGAGTAATTCTAGCCCAATTCTAACCATTCCTCTCTGCTGTCTCCCTCCTGAGCAGAAACTGGCTGAGTGCTGACACCAAGGAGGAGAGGAACCTGTGGATGGGAAAACTGAACCAGATCCTGGTGGATCTGCGCATGTGGCAGCCGGACGGCTG